ATATGCCTGTGCATACCCTTAGCTTAGCTCCCACTTTTTCATAAGAACATGTGATATCAGATTTTTGACTCTTGAGTCACTTCACTTAGAAAAGTGGCCTCTGGTTCCATACAATTTGCTGCAAAAGCCATTATTTCATTCTTTTTTATGGCTGATGGTGTATGTATATCACATTTTCCTTATCTACTCATCTGTTGATGGGAACTTAGGTTGGTTCTATATCTTTGCAGTTGTGAATTGCACTGCAAAAAATATACATATACAGGTCTCCTTTTGATATAATGACTTATTTTCCTTCGGGTAGCTAACCAGCAGTGAGATTACTGGATCAAATGGTAGGTCTAGCATTATGCCTTTGAAAAATCTCCAAACTGTTTTCTATAGAGATTGTACTAATTTACATTCCCATCAGCAGTATATAAACATTCCTTCTTCACCACATCCACACCAACATCTATTATTATTATCATTATTATTATTTTTACTTTTTAGTAATAGCCATTCTGGCTGGGGTAAGGTGGTATCTCATTGTGATTTTAATTTGCATTTCCCTGATGATTAGTGATGTTGCACATTTTTTCATATGTTTGTTGGCTACTTATCAACTATTCTGAGAAATGTCTATTCATGCCATTTGCCCACTTTTTAATGAAATTGTTTTTTTTCTTGCTTATTTAGGGTTCCTTGTTGATTCTGAATATTAGTCCTTTCATGAGATACATAATTTACAAATATTTTCTCTCACTCCATAGGTTGTCTGTTGATTCTGATTATTATTTATTTTACTGTGCAGAAGCTTTTTAGTTTAATTAGATTCCATTTATTTTTGGTTTTGTTGCATTTGTTTTTGGGGTCTTAGTCATAAATTCTTTGGTCAATATCCAGAAGTGCTTTTCCTAGATATTTTTTTCTAGAACTTTTATGTTCTAGAATTATTCAGGTCTTTAAGTCTTTCATCCACCTTGAGTTAATTTTTTCAACACCATCAGAGAAAGGGATCCAGTTTCATTCTAATACGTGTGGCTAACCCATTTTCCCAGCATCATTTATTAGATTTCTCCAATTCATGTTTTTGCATGCTTTGTAAAAGATCAGTTGATTTTAAATATAAGACTTTATTTCTAGGTGCTCTCTTCTGTTCCAATGGTTTTTGTGTTTATTTTTATACCAGTATTATGCTGTTTTGATTACTATCACCTTGCAGTATAATTTGAAGTCAGGTAATGTGATGCCTTCAGATTTGTCCTTTTTGCTTAGAATCGTTTTGGCCATTGGGCTCTTTTTTGGTTCCATAAGAATTTTAGGAATGTTTTTTATAATTTCGTGAAAAATAATGTTGGTATTGTGATAGGAAGTACACTGACTCGGCAGATTGCTTTGGGCAGTATGGTCATTTTCATGATGTTGAGTCTTTCAACAACATAAGCATGGGATGGTTTTCTACTTGTTTGTGTCTTCCATGGTTTCTTTCAGCAGTATTCTGTGTTGCTCCTTGAAGAGATCTTTTACCTCCTTGCTTAAGTATATTCCTAGGTATTTTAAATTTTTGTAGCTATTGTAAAAGAGATTGAGTGCTTGATTTGATTCTCAGCTTGGTCAGTGCTGGTATACAGCAGTGCTGCTAATTTATGTACATTGATTTTGTAACCTGAGACTTCACTGAATTTTGTTTATCAGATCAAGGAGTCTTTATAGTTTTCTAGGTATACAATCATATAATCAGCAAACAGTCAGTCTGACTTCCTCCTTTCCAATTTATATGCCCTTTATTTCTTTCCCATTTCTGATTGCTCTGGCTAGGACTTTCCCTACTTGTATTTTTAAATCTCTGCATAAACTACTTTACTGCTATCGCATTGACTTTTTTTTTTTTTTTTTTTTTTTGCTGTTTCTCCAATATAACATTGCTTAATACCTCATTCTTTCCCTACGATCATCATTGTCGGTAAATTATTATTTGTGAAAGAGAATTATAATTCTAAAAGGATATCCTTTATACTGTGATTGATGGAAAATATGCTTTTAACTTGCAGGGCAAGACCAATTTTCTAATACTTCAGTTCTATTTGCTCAAATGCATTACGGCTATAAAGCACCAATTATGGCTAATAGCAGCATTATTCTTACCTCAGTAAGTACTTGGTTTGGTAAAGCTTTAAGGACTCTCAACTTCAGCAATCAATTTAGTTAACTACAGGAAAGAGCCGATTTCATATAGATTATTACCTTAATGTCATATAAGTGGTGCTCAATATACATTTACATATACTTCTATTAAGCTTTCCAGATAAAGCACAGTCTAGAAGCCATATTTGTATAGTATCACAGTCATCGAAGTTTCAGCTCATATTTTCCACTTCCTCTACCCCTAAATCTTACAGGTTCTATAAATTAATGACAGCCTTGATAAAAATCACAAAAATAAGGCGTTAAGAGGATAGCTTCACATAGGGGATTAGGGGTATACATGGGTACTAGCCAAGTTCCAGTGGAAAAGTCATAAACTCTGTCTTGCTTTTTAGGCCCCATCACCCAGCCATCTCACTACCCTAAAAGCAGAAATCTTCCAAAATGTCTTTTGATCCCTCAACCCTACATCCAACCAGAAGTCAAGGTATATCAATTCCATCTTTTAAACGTATTTTTAATCTTTACTGTCTATGCTACTGCCCTACCTTTTGTATTCTGTTGTTTAATATTGCAACAGAGAAGTTTTCCTAATTTACAAGTTTTTGAAATACAAATTAAGAACATCACAGAACATGCACATTAACAGATGGCAATTGTGGTCACTGGGACTTAAGGCCGAATGGACCCAGGGCATTCTCCAGAGCCCTCAGCTATAACAAACTTTCCCCATTCTACTGCTTCCTCACCTATGCAAGCTCTCTATAATGTAAACCTAATTACATCTTTCTCTCCTGCTTAAACATTTCTCTGAATTCTGCTTGTATTTAAAGGAAGTCCAAGTTGAAAAGTATTGATTGAGTCTGATCCAGAAACAGAAGCTAATGTGCTCTAATACTCTAGAACTATTGCCTTGGATGCCTATAACCCCATAGAGACTGACCATATAGTCTTCCAAAGTTACTACAGCAATATACAAGTTATTCTGTATTTTTCAAAAGAACTGAACTCTTAGCCGGATGTGATGGGTCATGCTTGTAATCCCAGCACTTTCAGAGGCTGAGGTAGGAGAACTGCTTGAAGCCAGGAGTTTGAGACCACCTTGGGCCATACAGTGAGACCCCCATCTCTACAATTTAAAAATCAGCCAAGCATAGTGCTGTGTGTTTGTAGTCCTAACTACTTGGGAGATTGAGATGGGAGAATCACTTGAGCCCAGGAGTCCATGTGCAGTGAGCTATGATCACACCACTGCCCTCCGGCCTCCATGAGAAGGTGAGACCCTTCCTGTAAATAAATACATAAAGAAAAAAAAAACATTTAAAAAAAAACTGAATTATTTTCTCCTCTCAAGGTAGAAATTTGTAACATCAAGGTAACATTTTTGATTTTATAGTTTCCTAGCTTTAACCACAAATACTAAAAAGTGAGCCATTCTGATGCCTGAAGCAGTATCTATAACTTTGGCTTATAGAGTCCTGATTAAGTCTAGCACCAAGAAGCCCTAACATGAGTGATGGACAAAGCCACACACAGAAAACATGCAGCCTTTGCCTTTCTCAAAGTTCAGTTTGTCTGGGAAATACATATAAAAATTATCCGAGTGGTAAATATAATAAAAAATACATGAATGGAACTACAGGAGCATCACGACAAGTTTTATCAGACAGGGAAGGGAGCAAAGCACTCCCAGCAGAAGAAAATGTATGAATAAAGGCAAGAAAGTGACTATGCATGGGGTTTCAAGGATAAAAATGAACTTTGTAATTTGGAAAATGTAAATATCCACTATGACATTTAGGACTGTCTCATGAAAACTTGACTTGTAATTAGGTAAGGTCATATTTATTTATCAAATGAAAGGGTTTTGGGTTTTGTTTGTTTGTTTGCTTGGTTGCAGAGATGCATCTTGCTGTTTCCCAGGCTGATCTTAAACTCCTGGGCTCCAGTGATCCTCCCAACTCAGCCTCCCAAAGTGCTAGAATTTAGGCATGAGCCAATGTGCCTGACCTAGGAGTTGTTTTTATTGCCAATCTATAATATTTACTTTTGACATCAGAACAAGAAAGGAAATTATCTTCAGCATATCAGATTGCTGCCCATTATTTCCTCATTAATGAGGTAGACTACTTATATTGCTAGCATAGATCAGAATTTCTAAGTATAAAACCTCAGAAGAACTCCAAAAGTCATTTTTCCAGGATTTTCTTTCATTTGAACTTCAACAGTAAATGCCCAGTGTGTACAGGGACCAAAACACCAATAGCAGGAATTTCATTGAAGAAACATAAATATAAATTCTTAAAAAAATAAAATACAGCTACATTCCTCTCATTTCCATCTTATCCAGACCAGTGGCAAAGAGAATCATCCTCCAAAAAATGGACGATATTCTTAACTAACCAGAGTGATGGATAATCAAGCATATATAGTTAAAATTTTTAGATATGTAATGCCCATAGTCTAATTTTATGCAAATGTTTCAACTCTCTACTTAATCAAACCTTTTGTAATCACTACAATTGGTGAAAACTTAATGCTTTGAATTTATTCTCTATTTCTTCCTTCATTATTTAATCAAAGTGCTTGAAAGCTACAGGCTACAGAAACAGTTATCAAAACGGAGGGATAATATACAGGAGATTCTAAAGGAGGGAAATAAATTGGATTACCAGCCCCTGGAGAGTTAAGATTAGATAGAAGTCAATATCCATATTCAATCTGAACAGAAATGCTCTTTCACCAAATACGAGGAGGTTACAGATCTTTTGAGTCCTGCTATAACGACATCGCTTTTCCACTTTCCTTCACCATCTTGCCCCAAGTTTCCCTTCCGCAAAGAGAGCTAAACAAACCTAGGTGGTTTTACTTACAATTGTGAAGTTCATGACTTTGAGAATCCAGATGGTCATGGCCAGGTTCACCAGTATTAAAATCATGAGGAGCAGGACAAAGAAATACAGGCATCGTTTCCGCCAGCCGTAAATCCCCACCTTGTATACCTGTGGCCCCTCGGAGCCAGGCATGGTGCTCCGGTGGTGAGTGTACTGTTCCTGAGGCATCTGAAATAAACAAGGCGGGAGAGAAGCACTCACATTAAACTGCTGAGAGAAGAGGAAAAAAATAAAGGGGAAAAAATCAACTGATGAAGAGATATGGCTGGCTGCCGTCTTTACATTTACAGCCTCCGACAACTCTAAAAATCTGTTTCCTCCGGACAAAAGTGACTTCTCTGGATGCTTGCTTGAGCCCTCTCATATGACACAGCTATCACTTCTGATGTGCACTGAGACAGCCACAGTCACAGCCACAAACATACTGGGAGGAAAGGGACTCCTAGGAGGCCATTTTCCAAGTGACTCAGAATTCCAACATCTTTGTGGGGGAGATGCTCAAAGACCCATCAAACTGAAGGAAAAATTTAGAATTACTGAAGAAAATAAGTTAACCCCAGCAGTTCACCTTAGTAATATGAAAATATTACTCAGGCAATTTATTTGGGGGGTTAAAAAATACCAAACACAATCATTCTGTATTGCCAGTCAGTGGCAACAGTGGCAGCTCTGACCACTCCTCTATTTCAGATTTAAAAGGGGTCCTTGCAGACACACAGCTGAAATCCCACTTGATTTGGGAATCTTCATCAAGCGATAGTGTAGTAAATACCTAACTGCCCCCTGAGTTAGTCTTTGTGAGTTGAATGTTCTCATCCAACTTATTTAAGAAACATAAAGGAGGGTCAAAGTCAAGTAAAATGTGAACATTAGCTTGTAGACTAATAAGAGTATGAACTAGTTACTTGCTAAGCACAGTAGAGTGAGAGGCATCAGAAAAATATCTGTCAATATATTATAAAGTAATATGTTGATGCCCTTTAAAATAAGGAAGGTTTTCCAAGTCCCTGCTGTTGACACAAATTATCTTTATACTAAAATTACTAATTAAGTGCCAACACAAATCTAGATAAACATATCACTTCTATCCAATTCTAAAACCAAAACAAATTTTAAAATTAAATAAAGCTAGAAAATGCCTATCACTCAAACTGGAAAATAACAAAGTACACAAAGGATGATGATTTGCCTTAAACTAATCTCACGAATGTGATACCAACGGCTCTGGTACAAGGTCTCCTGAGCACAGCATCTCTAGTCTGCCATAGCCATGTGATACAGACCCCCCACTGCCCAGCTCAGTTCAGATAATGGTACAGCCCCTATTTTTACTTCATTGGCCATCATGTAGACATGCTGTATTCCCTACAGATAAGACCTACTCCATTTATTTTCTTTTTGCTCAATAGCAATTAAATTAGTAATATGTGCTACCAAAGTGACCACAATGAAACACCAAAACTTAGGCCCTAAAATCATATCCTTGGTTATTAGGTTATCTTCCCAATGGTTCAGAATATGATTATGTTATGATTTTTAGATAATCATTAAAATGAACATATACAATCTAAAAATCCCCCAGAGAACTGATGGCCGTTAGGCATCAGTGGAATTCCATTTGAAAAACTGAGTGAATTCTTCCTTACAGCTAACTAAAATGCTCCATGAAGGCCTACATGGCATCTGTCTCATCCCAAACACATACCCTGGAGCTGAAATCAGTACCTAATATGAGTATATGTTGGAATATGTGTGTGGAATGAATGAATGGAAAACAGAATGCATAAATGATGACACAATGAATGATTTTCCATCTGCTACTAGCTCTGTTGCTGTCTGGGGTACATAAAGGTTAAAGCTAAATACCATGAGCGAGTTCTTGTATATATGCTTGTACATTTTCACCTCAGGCTCCCAAAGCACTGGGTTCTGAGCCAGGCACTAAGCTTTATGCTGTAAGAGGATCTCAGTTTTAAATCTCAGCTTCTGATAATTCCTCTGCAGATCACGAATGTGTTGTAAGAAGATGAGAACACAACAAAGTCATCAATCACTGGCCTTTTTAAACATGAAGATCAAATAAAAGTGAAAAGAATATTTTATAAGCCTGAAAGAAATTAGGTTTTTATTTTCCATCAAATCATATTCTGTGAATTAAAGAAAAGAATCACACAATCTTAGAATCACATCTGCAATTTCCTTTGATATTAATCAACTAATTATGAATGAGCCAAATTAGAATTAGAGAAGTTAGCCTGCTTGTGCAGGGCTACGGGGTTTGTGGCAGGGTAAGGTCTTGAACAATAATCTAGGATTCTCATAGACAAGATCAACAGTGAGAAACTCTTTACAAATCAGTGTGCAGAAGCTCGTGATATTGTCACTACACCAGTTGCCTTTTCTCTGTCATTCACCCCAACCGATGGTGTCATTACATAAACATAGCTATAAAATGGAAATGACTTGTTAATAAATGTTTATAAGAGGGTGGAGGCATAGACAGCATGCTTGTGATTTGTTGTTTTCATACACATACTGTTAGAACTTGGCGGAATGCAGTGGTTATCTTGACTAAGGGTTCTCAGCCCTGGATGCACATCAGAGTTACTGGGGGAGCTGTTAAAAACATCTGTACTCCCAAAATGCAGTGGCTTGCACTAGTAAACCCAGCACTTTGGGAGACCGAGGTGGGCAGATCACTTGAGATTAGGAGTTCGAGACCAGCCTGGCCAATATGGTGAAACCCTGTCTACTAAAAATACGATAATTGGCTGGACGTGGTGCCAGGTGTCTGTAATCTCAGCTACATGGGGGGCTGAGGCAGCAGAATTTCTTGAACCCAGGAGGCGGAAGTTGTAGTGAGCCAAGAACACACCACTGCACTCCAGCCTGGGCAACAGAGTGAAGACTCTGTCAAAAAAATAAATAAATAAAAAGTAAAAAAGAAAAAAAAAAAAAAAAAAAAAAAAAAAAAAAGAAAAAAAGGCAGAGTTCCTCTGCTTAAAGCAGGGTCTGGCTACCCTTACAGCATCTCTGCAGAATCCTCTGCTCCTTGCAACTACTAATTTTGTTCCACAAAATTGGCCAGCTATGAAACTCAAGACCAGGAGGAGGTAGCTCCCTTTCAAGTCATACAGCAAATTAGAAGCTGAGCAGGGATTACAATTTGGATCTTCTGCTGAATGGTATAGTGGCTTATTGCATGTCATCCCCACACCCCCTTTAATGAGTCAGATGAAATAGAAAACTCCAGTCTCCAACTCATTAAAATACGTAAGAAAGAAATAGTGAAGGGGATGAGCAATTTTCTATACATAATTATAATAGGAAGACTTGCCATGCAAACATATGATAATGGACACATCTGTTATAAAGAATCCTGCATGGAAAGGGAAATTTAGATATGCTGAGTACATTCAGTTTTCTAATCAAAAATTAAAACAGGTTGAAAGATAAAGACAAAAGAGGAATGACAATCTCCAATCTATAATTCTTCTTATTCCTCCCTGGAACAAATTTACTGTCCAGGGAAATGAAGTTAAAATTTTAATTCTTCACTTGGGTAGGCCCTAGGCCTTTGAAGGCCCCAGGAGAGGCCCCAGTAATGCATGACAATAGTTATACAATTTTATACAAATTTTAAAAGATGTTTTAATTGCAACTAACTAAACCCTATCTTTTTGTACTCTGACTTCCTCTCATGTTAGCTTTGGAGGATTTACATGCATTTTGGACATCTAAGAAGAAACTGACTTAGTGATTCACATACTTTGAATGCAGAATATGTTTGTATGGTTTACAGCACTTTCATGTAGAGGTACATTATTGCTAGTTCTCCTGGTGTAGGAATGTCTTCTAGGAATACTCCTTCCACCCATAGCTCTAATTCACCAAGCATGGTGACATGAAGGAACAAGACAAAATGACACGATGCAAGGTAAACATGACCTATAACGGCCAGCACCAGAAATACATGGGTAGTAGAAAAGACAGAAGCTAGTAAAAAGTTCATTTCATAATCATCAGATACGCAAAATTTCACAATGTCGAATTCAACTGTCATTGATACCTAATCAAAAACAAATGTTCTACTGTCAAAAATATATTGAATTGGGCATATATAATTATAAATGTTCCCTATGTGTTTTATTTTATATGGGAGTCATGGAAAATATAATTAGCCAGAATACTTGGGTTTGTAAGTTATGTATACCATGAAAGTCTCTATGTAAAGTTGTATACATTCTGTATTACAGCCATCAATATCTAAAAAGTTCTGTCAAAACTGCCATAAAAATAATTATATTTCTGTTGTCTATACAGAAAGTGATAGTGGCATATAGCTGTCACATAAAGAAACAATTTAAAGCTATAAACCAAAAAGTACAAAGTATGTGAGACAGTTAATTATTAGCAATATTGTACTTCCAGATTTTGTGATGTCATCTTTTAAAAATTAATAATTCAATTTCCTTTCTCATTCTAAGTACATATTTATATTTTTAACTTGCTTGTATTTCTAATATTTTCAGTTTTTTCTTATCCCAATTGTTTTTAGCAGTAAGGTATTTTTAAGTTATGGTATGTACTTTTTTAGATATAATGCAATTGCACAATACTATACTACCACATAGTATAAGGATAAACTTTATATGCACTGTGAAACCCAAACATTTGTGTCACTCACCTTATTCTCATATTTGTTTTAACGCAAATAAAGCAAATGCATTGTTTAGCAAAATGCATTTGTTCAATGAATGAATGAATGTGCATTTGTTTAATGAATGAATAAATGAATAAAAATCAAGCCAATGTTAAATAGTAAAGTGTATTCTATGGTAATGAGTAAATTGCTGTATCAGAAGTAAAGAAGTAAAAACTTACACAACTTTGTCTTTCCAAACGTACATGCTATTATACTAATGCTAAGCAGGCTTCAACCCAAAGCATTACTCTACTCCCTCATAAAGCTATTTTCAACGTTGACCTGTTTATAAACAAATCCATTTGACTTAAGGATCATCTGTTTCTTGCACACAAAATGCAAAAGGATTATATTTCGCAAAGAATGAATACAGTAAATCTTTTTGTTGCTTTGACACTGGATAGGAAGAAACTATGGAGACAAGACAATGCTATTATATAATATAACCAGTTACAATAATTAA